GTAATTGTGGGCTCTGTCTAAACATTGTAAGAGATTTTACTGAATTGCTTTTGTTTGCTAAGACAAGACATGGTATTTGGGGCTTAAAACAGGGGTTGGCACTTTGAGTATAACACATTCCCAGCTGTTAGTGATATACTGTACTGGGATCCATCTCATAAAAAGGAGCTACCTCAAAGCAAACACACTGTCAAGGCAAAAAATGGGAGTGAATGACAGAGCAGAAAACACCCACTTCAATCATTTTTATCTGTTTTCTGCAACATGGCTTCGGATGTTGTGGCTGGTCTCTATAACATAGTGTAAAAAGCACCAAAAAAATGACATTTTGTACTTGGAGCTTGATAATATATGCAGATGTTTAAGGTGCAAGTACAATACCAGAGCTGTTTTCATCTAGAGCAGGGGTATCAAACTCGCGGTGGCACGTTGTCATCACATGATGTATCGCAACTTTCCTCCCCTTTATTAAACTGGGGATGGGCGTGGCCAGCGCATGACACATCCGGATCACTGGCTGCGAGTTTGACACCCCAATCTAGAGCCTCAATTTAGACTTATTGTGAGGTGCTCAGAATCATTACCTTGATTCATTTTGAGGACAGGATTCCAAATTTTAAGTCTGTGCCAAGGATCCAGTCTGTATACTTACCTTGGGAAGAAAGACAAGAGGTATATATTGGTTTGAAATTGAATGTATATTCCCAGAGCAGCCTTTAATTTCTTTCTTCACTTTCCAGTTCTTGTACCTCCAGAAAACATGTTGTTGGAGGAGACATGCAAAAATGATGCCCAGGGCTGCCACTGGCAGGGAGCCATATAATACTCAAGTTGCAAATTTCATTGATCAACACCATGGGAAAACCAATTAGTAATCTGTTAGCAAAATCACAGAGACAAGTTTGGCTTCTCTTTAAAGCATTATTACAACTTTCCACCAACAATTTCAAGGTAATTGAAGAGAATGGAAGATCATGTTTTATCTGATCAAATTTCAAAATTAATTTGTAAAACAACCAAGGAGGGGAGGACATAAGCTGTAGTTTTATAGAATACAGAATAGCAAAGTTGGAAGGGACCTTGGAGATCTTCTACTCCAGCTCCCTGCTCAAGCAGGAGACACCATCCATTCTGGAAAAACAGCTGTCCAATCCCTTCTTAAAAACCTCCAGTGATGGAGCATCCACAATTTCTGGAGGCAAACTAGTGTATAAAAATGTTATTGACCACATCTTTCCCAATTGAGGGAACTACAACCTTTCTTTTTTTTTGTTTCTCTGTGTATCGGTCTACAGCATATTTTCCCTGCTCAGACCTCCCAAATTACCCTAGCAATGCAAGAGCACGTGGGTTGGAAAACTGACAAAAGAAGGGGGTAGATTAATGGGCTGGCCTTTAACCTTAAAACTATTGAAGCCCACTGGGGAAATGTATTTCTCCATCAGCACAAACCAAAAAACACAGGCAAAAATAATTTGGTACTAAAGACAATTCTGACAGGAAACCTAATTTGTCCCCAGGGGAGAGGGGGGCTCTAAGAGAAGGAACTGGCCAGCTAATGCCCCCTGTCAGGGAACCCCTTAGAAATGGAGGACTAGGTGTTTGTGCAGTAATAGGTCATACCAGAAAAGACCATGCAAATAAGCGAAATAGGATGACAAAAAAATGGCCCAATGAAGAAGAACTTTCTGATCTTTCTGAGTCCTAACACAGAAAAGCCTCAGGATTGCCTGGCTGGGTTAAAAGAATGCTAAGAATTGACCAATCAAAAGCATCTGATGGAGGAGGTGGGATCGTAAGAAATTCACAGTGCTATACTACTCTGAAAGTTGAAGGGTCACCTCAAGGCCCTTTGGGAAATCAAGGTACCAAAAGAGGGGGGAGAAACAGAGATGGCAGTTACTACCTGGTAAAATAGGAGGGGGAGGGAGTTTGGGTTAAGAAAAAAGAGCAAGAGCTGATGCAGGAAGTGGAAAAAAATGAATCACAGTAATGTTATATTTAGGAGTTTCCTGATCCTACCCCAGTGGTCAGAAGTTAGCATAGATGATGTCTCTTGGTCTTTGCTGTTTGATTCACCTGTTCAGAAATTAAAATAGTTGGCAATGCAGTGTTTTCCTTTCATTACCCATAGCTAATAATAGCTATCTCAGCTGCAGAATCTGCAGTCCCTTGTGGATATCATGGAATAATCACCAGGGGTGTTGGAGAAATGTCAAAGTCCAAAAGAGCAACTGAGCCCAAAAGAATAAACACTAGTTCCAAAGCTGTTCCTAAATGTAGCTACATGCTTAATGGTCTGTTCCCAAGACCAGGATGTAGCCTGATTAATAATGTGGCCTGATTAATTAAGGAAGATAATGCAACATGGTAAGGTCACTGGAAGGAGTAAGCATAGGGATTTTTTTTGAAGCATAGATATATCGTTCTTACATTGCTTATTTCTATAAAAAGGAAGCAAAAGTTGCATACCGTAATTAAATTGTGGGGACATAAAAAGAAGGCTGGTGATTGTACACTTGCCATAAAATGAAGAGACTGTAATTACTCATGGAAAGCCCATTGAGCAATATCTGCTGGGTTTTTTAAAAATAAAAAAAGCTTAACTTGATTGATTGTCAAGAGGTTAAACAAATCTTTGGAAATCGTTTTTAGAATTGTTTCTGGATGCCTACAAAAATGAGGACTATCTTGATTTTCTTACAATTAAGCAAGGGCCCAATCAAGCCCCTGATATATTTAAATAACAATTAAAATCTAGTTTAAGAATAGCAGTTCATAACTGTAATTTGATACAGTTCTCCTGATATTCAGAGGACATGTACTGAAGCCTTGTACATACGCTGGGCAGTATCCTGATTGACAGACTTTCTTTAAAATCTACGCTAAAAGTGCATGGACACACATCTCCTGTTCAGTTTGCTCAAAATATTGTTCAATATAAACCCAAAAGTGAGGTTTTAGTTTGAATTGGCAAATGTCCAGTGAGAAAGGAAATACTTTAGCTGTGTACAGGGATGAGCTCAAATGAGCTGAAACTATACACACTATAGTTCTCCTTCTCCAACAATACATATTTGGACAGAGCATTTTCTTTTATGCTCCTCTCTCTGGGTGGAATTTTTATTTTATTTTTTGATTAGGAAAATGTATATGGTCACCCAACTCATTCATGATGGTTCTGGGTGGGTTACAGAAGTGAAACCCAAAATTACAAAGCAAATAAACCCCCACTCATCTGGTGACAACAATCAAATAAACCAGGGGTTGGCAACTGTGGCCCTTTTACAACCTATGGACTTCAACTCCCAGAATTCCTGAGCCAGCTTGGCTGGCTCAGGAATTCTGGGAGTTGAAGTCCACAGGTTGTCCAAGGGCCACAGTTGCCCACCCCTGGAATAAACCATTTGATAGGCTCTGTCTCACTCTGGGGTGTCCAGGCCTGCTGGCCAAAGGATGTCTACTTTTTAAATAAATATTTATTGAATGCTACCATTGTGTTGTACTAATGCTAGTGAGCTAGAATCATCCCTTCAATTCCTTTGAGGAGAAAGAGCTGGCTTTGGCTTGGTGGCAGGAAAAGGGAAGTACCACGTTTTTAAGGTGGGGGGAAAAACAAGCAAAAAACACAAGGAAAAAGCTTGCCTTCACAAACTCTGACACTAGTAGGAGCAAGGGCAGAGACTGGGTAAGATGGAAAGAACTGTTTACATAATAAATAACTTAGCATGTGTCCCTGGAAGACAAGGAAGAGAACTTTGGGCAGAGACTCTGTGTCCATTTGACTCACTTATCCCATTCCACACTACTTTACAGGGCTGTTTATAATATGGTTGGTGAGATAGTCCCATGTGGGTCAACCTTGAGTTCTCAGAGGGAAAAAAATATGATGTCAATGCCTTAATGTTGAAACCCAAGAACCATCCTCTGATTACATAGGACACTGAAATAAAGTAAGCAGCAACAACCAGAAAGGCTTTCCTGAGGTAAACATGGCCAAACATTAAAGCTATTTCCTCTAAACAGGAGGAGAAGGAGCATCAAGCACCGGAATCACGACATTAATTGCAAATAAATGACGCGCATCTTGAGCATGCCAAACGAGCACCATTCCAAATGTGAAACTGCCTTTTTGCAGGCTGTTTGTTTTGCTTCTGCAGAGCCGGGATGAATAAGCCCTTTATGGCCGTTTCCACCCACCATCCTCCAGATATGTGGAGTGCCAACCCCCCCCCTGCTTCTGCTTAGGCTGGAGGACTGGCAATGTTGGGACTTGTGATCCAGCTTTCGAAATGGGCTAAGATGGCCAAGAAGGGAGTGATGTTTTCCTTCTGGGTGAACTAGACCAGGGGTCTCCAACCTTGGCAACTTTAAGACTTGTGGACTTCAACTCCCAGAATTCCTCAGCCAGCAAAGACTTGTGGACTTCAACTTCTTCAGCTTTGCTAGCTGAGGAATTCTGGGAGTTGAAGTCCACAAGTCTTAAAGTTTGCCAAGGTTGGAGATCCTTGAACTAGACCCCTTCCTTCCTAGAAGGGCCGGCTGGATCACCCTATATAGCACAAGCCAGTTTTCTGATGATCTAATTCCGAAATCTTTTTGGGATGGGACAGGAAGATATCAACACATTCTTAGACGTCTTTTTTTAGGCTGCAATGGAACAGCCTAACAGCCCTCGTGATGCGAAGGAAAAAAGCGGAAAGCGCCACGGCTCGCTGAGCCGTCCTGTCCCCTCTGCAAATATTGATGCGCTAAGCTTTCCCACTTAAAAGCCTAATTGGAGCGAAGTGGAGCTCTGTACACTCGAAGGGAGCCTAATGGAGACATTGCAGTGCTATTAGCACAGATGGTTGTCATATGTATGCAAATGAGGAGCAAATTGAATTGGGTGTCCCTTCTCGCCAGCTGTCCTATCAGCGCCGGGCTCCGGCAGCTTCGGAGAGCTTTGAGGCGGGCGCCGCCGCTAATCCTTTCGCGCATACATCATCTTCGCCTTTACCGGGGACAAAGGGAGCGGCGCGGACACTCTGGTACCACCTTCGCTGGGCCGTCGAGACTCAGCTCTGCAGCTAAGGGGCGCGGCTCCAGGAAGGGCAGAAGGCGGGGAGTGCCCGGCCCCTTCTTACCCGTCGGGTAGGAGCTTCGGGCTGCTGGAAGCGTTAAAACGCAAGGACGAGCAACCTTGGAATCGGACGCGCGTCCAGCTAATTGGTGCCACAATGATTCTCTCTCTCTCTCCCTCTCCAACCTTCCCCCTTTCTCTCCATGTCCCTCTCCTCCTCCCCTTCCTCTAACACTCTTGGCAGCAAAATTCCCCTAAGGGGTGCCTTGGGATTTCAGCCTTTTCTATCTCCATTACCATCCCGTTCGAAATTCGGCTGACTTTAATGAGAACATGAGCAACGCCTTCTTGGAAACAAGCTGAGCTAATATATACTCATTACTAAAAATTGGAAGGGAAACAGAGTGCCAGTTTGATAGTGCCTGTCATTTAGCTGCAGGGGACAAACTCAGCAATGTGCAATAGGACAATCTGAAGATGATTTTCAGTGCTACCCTCCAGTCTTTGTGGAGGAAGCATATGAATGGACAAACTGTACCGGGGCCCTTAGATCACACAAGCCTAAATATTTTGTATGCATGTACTGTAGGCCTTTTCAATATTAACTTTTTACAGAAACTAAAGGCAAATGGTGTTTCTCAGGTGCCTGACTCCGACTGGATGAGTCCGGGGAGGGAGACGGGGGTGAGTCTTGAGAATATTATCTGGGAAGAGTTTGACCCGTGGCTCCCGAGGACATGGACAGGATTCTGGGTAGGCTTAGTGCTGCCACATGTTTATTGGACCCGTGTCCCTCCTGGTTGGTACTGGTGTCCTGGGAGGTTACACGAGGCTGGCTCCAGGGGAGTATAAATGCTTCCTTGAGTGAGGGTGCCTTTCCTGCTGCCTTGAAAGAGGCAGTGGTGAGGCCCCTCCTCAAGAAGCCATCCCTGGACCCGGCTGTGTTAGTAAATTATCGTCCGGTCTCCAACTTTCGTTTTGTGGCGAAGGTTGTCGAGAGTGTGGTGGCACCCCAGTACATGGAGGAAGCTGTCTATCTGGACCCGTACCAGTCGGGCTTCAGGCAGGGGTACAGCACAGAAACGGCATTGATTGCGTTGGTTGATGATCTCTGGAGGGCTAGGGACAGAGGTTGCTCCTCTCCTGGTCCTATTAGATTTCTCAGCAGCTTTTGATACCATCGACCATGGTATCATGCTGCAGCGGTTGAGGGGATTAGGAATTGGAGACACCGTGTTACGGTGGTTCTCCTACCTCTCTGACCGCTCGCAGTTTGTGTTGGCAGGGGGGCAGAGGTCGACCTCGAGGCGCCTCGCTTGGGGGGTGCGCAGGGATCGGTCCTCTCGCCCCTTCTGTTCAACATTTATTTGAAGCCGCTGGGTGAGATCATCCGTGGTTTTGGGCTGAGAGTCCACCAGTACGCTCATGACACCCAACTGTACATCTCCACCCCAAACCACCCCAATGATGCCCTTGATGTGATGTCCCGCTGCCTGGAGGCCGTGCGGGTCTGGATGGGGAGAAATAGGCTTCGACTCAACCCTTCCAAGACTGAGTGGCTGTGGCTTCTGGCATCCCGGTATAGTCAGCTGGTGCCATCGCTGACTATTGGGGGTGAATCTCTGCCCCCCACAGAGAGGGCTCGCAATCTGGGCGTCCTCCTGGACTCACGGCTGTCTTTAGAAGAGCACATGCGGCCGTAGCCAGGGGGGCTTTTTATCAGATTTGCCTGATCCTGCCAATTGTGTCCCTTTCTGGACCAGGATGCCTTGCGCACAGTCACTCATGCCCTCGTCACCTCCCGTCTGGACTATTGTAATGCTCTCTACATGGGGCTCCCTTGAAGAGCACTCAGAGGCTCCAACTGGTCCAGAATGTGGCCACGTGGGTGGTTATGGGTGCACCTCGTTACGCCCATGTAACACCTCCTGCGCGAGCTGCACTGGCTCCCAGTGGTCTTCCAAGTGCAATTCAAGGTGTTGGTTACCACCTTTAAAGCGCTCCATGGCATAGGACCAGGATATCTACGGGACCGCCTTCTGCCACCAACAGCCTCCCACCGACCAGTTCGCTCCCACAGAGAGGGACTCCTCAGGGTGCCGTCGGCCAAGTTATCCAACTGGTGACATCCAGGAGGAGAGCCTTCTCTGTCAGACCCCCTGCCCTTTGGAATGAATTGCCCCCGGATATTCGTAACATCTCTGATCTCCGGGTCTTTCACTGTGCCCTCGAGACTCTACTGTTCCGACAGGTGGGGTTGTCTAATTGATTTTAAATTGGGTTTTAACTTTGGGTTTTAAAATTCGGCCAAAACTATTTAATGATTTTAATTAATTTTAAGTATGATATTGTATATTTATGTTTTAAATTTGGCTGTACACCGCCCTGAGTCCTTCGGGAGGAGGGCGGTATATAAATAAAATTATTATTATTATTATTATTATTATTATTATTATTATTATTAATTATTATTATTATTATTATTATTATTATTATTATTATTATTATTATCTGTAATGTGCATTTTAAACATGGAAGCCCTGAAGAACATATGTGCATGAACATTTCACATAAGACTGCATAAGTACTATAAAATATAAGAGTAAAATTGGTATGCCACATGATGATTGTTACGTTTTCTTCTAGTGATACATTTTCCCAACTGTATTTTAAGAATGAATGCCATTTGTTGGCTTTTTAAGAAGTGCTGTGAATATTCATCTTCATAAACTTACATTTTATTTGGATTATTGCCATGCATTCTGGATGAATCTACTTTTAAAAACTGCTGCTCATTCAGACAAAGATAGCATGTTGTCGGGTGTTTACTTTTTTGATCACATCACTACAACCATGCCAGGTTTTGCATTGTGTTTCTGTGTGCAATTCAGACTATTGGCTAAGTTTCTAAAGGCCATAATAATCAATGGAAGCTTTAGGAATCCCCACTACACATGTACCTTCTGCTTTTTGCTTTGATGGAAAAGCCATCGTTATGTTCCCACTACTGTATGTTGGAATTTCACTGGATGAGGGGGAAAAAAGAGCTTTTCTTGTGGCTCTTTTGGTAGGATGGATTCCCCACTTGTGCAATTTTCTGTATTGTGAAAATGTATTCAGCCTAAGGTTTTTTGAGAGGGGCAGATAAATATATTTTTGTCAAATAATAGGGTTTACCACTTGCATTTACTTAACATGCTAATGCAGGGGTGTTAAACTCAATTTCATTGAGGGCCGCATCAGGGTTGAGTTTGACCTCGGTGGGCTGGGGTGGGATGGCCAGAGTGGTCATGGTCAGCTCAATGTCACTCATGTTGGGGGCACCTGTGGTGGCCCAAGCACTCTGTCAGCAAAAACAGGCTCCCGAGCTCCATTTTTGCTAGCAGAGGCACTGCGGGCTGGTCTTTTGCTGTTTCCAGGGTGGCCCCATGGGTTAGATCTAAGTACCCCGTGGGCCAGATCCGGGCCCTGGTCTTTGAGTTTGACACCCCTGTACTTATGCATAAATTGCATCATATTTTACTTTTGTTGGATAACAAACATAGAAGTAGGGGTGAAATGCTACCAGTTCGCGGACCGGTAGTGATAAAAACTACCGGTTCAAGTGAACCGGTAGTAAAAAAAAGCTACCGGTTCAGTTGAACCAGCAGTTTAAAAAGCTACCAGTTCGGGCGAACCGTTAGTTAAAAAATGCTACCGGTTCCTCTGAACCGGTATTTCCAATGATCAGCCGTGCAGCGTGGTTTAGCTTTGCTAGAAAGCAGGAAAGCCTGCTTTCTAGCAAAGCTAAATCGCATGCCACAGCTTATTCCCCCCCTTGCTGTTCTACTTACCTTCCCAAGCCTTCTTATGGCACATACTGCACATGCGTGTGTGCAGAGCACATGCCAAAAGGAGGCTTGGGAAGGTAAGTAGAACAGCTGGCCGGGGGGGGGATCAGCAGAAAATCCTGCTTTCTAGCCAGTGGTGGGTTTCAAAATTTTTTACTACCGGTTCTGTCGGTGTGGCTAGTTGGGCGTGGCAGGGGAAGGATACTGAAAAATATCCATTCCCACCCCACTCCAGGGGAAGGATACTGTAAAATCTCCATTCCCTCCCTAATCCAGGGGAGGTTACTGCAAAATCCCCATTTCCTCCTGATCAGCTGGGCAGAGAATAGATGGGGGCTGGGCCAGTCAGACTTTTTACTACCTGTTCTCCGAACTACTCAAAATTTCCGCTACCGCTTCTCCAGAACTGGTCAGAACCTGCTGAAACCCACCTCTGTTTCTAGCAAAGCTAAATTGTGCACTACAGCTGATCCCCGCCTCGCTTCTACTTACCTTCCCAGGCCTCGTTTTGGCCCGTACTGTGCATGCACATACACAGAAAGTGCTTTTGGTGCGCACTGCGCATGTGCACGTAGCACATGTTTGGCACACAGCACGCATGTGCGGTCAGTGAACCAGGAGCAAACCGGTTTGGATTTCACCACTGCATAGAAGTCATACTGAGCCATGCATATAGGAATGTATATCCCTATTTATGAACCCAGCTGTAATGGTTGAAACCATGGCTTATGGATTAGCGTTCAATATTAGACTCTAGAAAACCCGGGCTAATTCAAAAGCAAATTAAAGCTGGATTTAGTGAGTTGTTGGATGGTGGATTACATAAACATTGCAGGGTTTTATGGGAAATCACAAAGCATCTTGGAAGAAAGCAGTGAAAATCCACCTTTGTATTGTGAGAAGAAGGATATTTGGATGTCTCTATGTAATTGCTTGAATCACTTGAAGGACACTTTACCTTTTTAAGAGATTCATCTGTGAATGAGCAAGTTTCTCTTTCAGCTCCCATTATAGCTACATTGCTTTCGGCAAGGCGTTTTTACCCTTTTATGGTTAGTAATACCTGCCTTTACAGGGTTGTTATAAAGTTCACTAATATAAGTAATATATCGCTGTGCGATTTCACATATTTTAAACTGCGCACTGAAATATAGGTAGCTTTTTCACTATGTTATGACATTTCAAGAATGTTAGAATGCAAACGTTCTCGATGATTTCCTTACGGTCTTTGGGGTCACCTA